GCATTCATGCGCTCTCATGGCTTCTGTTCCGAAAAGGCATTGTCGACTTCCGAATTGGCAATCTAGTCGGTAAACTCCAGTTCGAGGACCACGAGTTGGAGGCTACACAAAAAGGTCTGGACAAGTCTGGGGTTAGTATGCCCAACTTCTCAGGCATGCAAGCCAACTTCCAAGTCGAGCCGGAACCGGAGCCAGAACCAGAACCAGTGGAATCTGAGGAAGACCGCATTGACCGCGAGCTTGGAGAGAACGAGGACATCATACTAGATCTCCAGGCTCAGATGCGCGGTGCTCTCGTTCGAATTCGCCTCGGGATGGTGATGCAGGAGCTCTGGGATCATGAGCACCTCATCGTAGACTTGCAGGCACGCATCCGTGGTGACTGGGCTCGACAAATCTCCACCTACCGCATGGACATGCGCCGTTTCGCAGTTACTTTGCAAGGTGCAGCGAGAGGCTTCCTGGTTCGGTCGAGGCTTCAGGGTGAAGAACAGTTCTGGCACGCCAATGAGGCCCAGGTCTTGAAGGTGCAGAACCTGTTCCGTGGGCGCAAGGCCAGAGCGCAAGTTCAGTACACCAAATCGAAGATCGAGCGACACGAACACGGCATACGGCAATTCCAAGCAGCCATCCGAGGAGCGCTGGAACGACTACGTGTGTCCGACCGATACGAACAAACCCGCGATACCGAACCATCCGTTATGCATGTGCAGGCTATGATTCGTGGAGCTCTTCTACGCCAGCAAGTCGATCGGGAATGGGCTGAGCTACAACAGAATGAACCTGAGGTCGCGCAACTCCAAGCCGTCGCAAGAGCAATGCGTGTCCGCCAGTCACTGCGTGCCGATCAGGAAGGTCTTCGTCAACACGAATCTATGATTACAATGTTGCAGTCAACTGCCCGAGGTCTTCTTGCTAGGAAGAAGGACGCCGCAATGCAGAAGAAGCTGGTAAGCACGAATGTCAATTGGTCTGGTCTTCAGTCCCAAGTTCGCGCCAATGTCTTGAGAAACTCTGTCAGGCAGATCCACGAGGCGCTTCAAGCCGAAGTACCTCAGATCACCGATTTACAAGCTGTCGCAAGGGGTGGCACCATGCGTGCAGAGATCACTGAGATCCTCACGCTTCTGCACGAACAAGAAGACAACGTTCTTTCGCTTCAGTCACACATTCGCGGTTTCCTTTCGCGACAGAAGCACTTTTCTGATCTCAAGGCACTTCAGGCGCAAGAACCCACCATTCTAGACCTCCAATCGGCTTGCCGAGGCTTCATGCAACGCCAACGGACCTACGAGACTCTTTGCGAGCTCAATGCTCAAGAGCCCGAAACCGTCGATCTTCAAGCCGTGGCACGTGGTATGCTGCTCAGGATGCAAATCGGTATGCAGCTTGGTCAAGTGGAAGAGCACGAAGATGCGATTGTCGAGCTTCAGACCCTGGCGCGCGGTTTGATGATCCGCCAGAAGTTTGCAGAGAAGCAGCAGTTCTACAAGGAGAATATGGAGAAGGTCATCAAAGTGCAGAGCTTCATCCGTGGTCGTCAACAAGGTGAAGCCTACAAGAGCTTGACCAGTGGCACAAACCCTCCAGTGTCGACTGTCAAGAACTTTGTGCATCTTCTTAACGACAACGACATCGACTTTGATGAGGAGATTGGTAGGTCGCTCTTTGATTACTATAGTCATGTCTTACTAACGGAATGTCAGAATTCGAGCGTCTTCGTAAGACTGTTGTACAGCATGTGCGCCAGAACGAGCTCGCCGAGCAGTACGTCGATCAACTGGACATCAAGATCGCGCTTCTCGTGAAGAACAAGATCACCCTTGACGAGGTCGTCAAGCACCAGAAGCACTTCGGCGGCAACGTCGGCACACTGCTCAGCAGCAAGGACATCTCATCAAAGGACCCCTTCGATCTCAAAGCGCTCAACAAGAACTCGCGCCGGAAGCTGGAGCAGTATCAGGAGCTTTTCTTTGTTCTGCAGACGCAGCCTCAGTACATGGCGAGACTCTTCAGGCGCGTTCGTGAACAAAATCTCGCGGAGGGTGACATCAAGCGCATCGAGCAGCTGACCATGAGTATGTTTGGTTTGGCCCAAAAACGCAGAGAAGAGTATTGGCTGTTGAAGCTGCTCACAAGATCGCTAAAGGAGGAGATTGAGGGCTGTGCGAACCTCCATGAGTACCTTCGTGGCAACTTCTTCTGGTCCAAATTGTTCGCCAACTACGTCCGGTCACCGCGCGACCGAAAGTTCCTCAAAGATGTTCTTGGAACTGTCATTCGTGAGAATATCATTGAGAATGAGCACCTGGACCTGGAGAGCGACCCAATGCAAATCTATCGTTCCGCCATCAACAACGAGGAGCTCCGTACTGGCCAAAGTAGTCGTCGCGACCCGAATGTCTCGCGAGATGTAGCACTCAAGGACCCCGAGACACGTGGTACTTTCATTCACAACCTGCAAGATCTTCGCGATGTTGCTGACCAGTACTTCACGATGTTCGAAGAGGTACTCCACCGGATGCCATATGGTGTGAGATACATCGCACAGCAGATGTTCGAAGAACTACGCTTGAAATTCCCCTACGAGGCGCAAGAGCAGCTTCTACAAATCACCGGCTACTGGGTATGGAAGGCTTACATTCAGCCTGCTCTATTGCAACCTCAGCACTGGGGTGTGGTGGATCGTGGCCTGTCGCCAGTGATGAACAGAAACCTTGGAGCTGTTGCCAAGGTCCTCAGTCAGATTGCCGGCGGGAAGCTGTTTGGTGGAGACGATCTTTACCTGCAGCCTCTTAACAGCTACATCACCGAAGCCATCGATCGCCTACAAGACATCTGGTCGAACATGATCAACGTCCGTGCCGCCGAAGCTCAGTTCGAGATTGACGAGTTCAACGACTTGTTTGCAAGAACCAAGCCAACACTCTACATCAAGCTCGCAGACGTATTCGCCATTCACAACCTCGTCATCGAAGATCTACCAAGTTTATGCCCCTCTCAAGACGATCCACTCCGTGAGATTGTCCGTGAGCTCGGTAGCGCCAAGAACAACGAGAACGAGCTTCTGCATGTCAGCTCCAGCGAAATCACATTGACCCTGAACCCCAAGTACCATGAGCAAGAGGGTAAGTTCTTCCTCCACTTGCAGTTCCCACTTACTGACTTTTCTAGACCCCGACTCTGCAATCAAATCCCTCTTCATGGAGACCAAGCGCTACGTACTGTACATCATCCGCATCCAAACCGGCGCCAACCTCACCGAGATCATGTGCAAGCCGGTTACCCCCGATGACGAGAACCGCTGGGACGCTCTCGTCCGCGAAGAGATCATCGCGCAGCGGAAAGATCGTTCGCGGAAACAGAGCAACGTAGTCCGATCCTCTGCCGCCTCAACTTACACGCAGGATATGGGCTCCAACTCTGTACTTGATCTTGACTACCCCACACTCAAGCAATACTGTCTGGAGAACATGGTACAACTCCAACGCGCAGGCCGCATCTCGCACACCAACAACTACCAAGACCTACTCAACGCCATCGCGGTCGACATCCGCACCAAGCACCGAAGACGTATCCAACGCGCCAAGGAATTGGAGGGAGTACGCACTACACTGGCCGCACTCGACGAGAAGGCACATTTCCTAGAGTCGCAACTCAAGTCCTACAACGACTACATCGAACAAGCCATGGTAACGTTGCAATCGAAGAAGGGCAAGAAGAAGTTCCTCCTTCCCTTTACCCGCCAATACAACCACCAGCGTGAACTAAAGAACAGCGGTCGCGAGTACCGCTTCGGTTCCTTCAAATACTCCGCCCGCAACCTGGCCGAGAAGGGCATCCTCATCTCCTGGTCTGGATACCACGAGCGACAATGGGACCGCATGGACATCACCATCTCCAGCAACCAAACAGGTATCTTCGAGATCCAAGGTTCTCAAGGTTCCATGATGATTCCCGGTGCATTCGCCGAGGTGCCTCTGGACGGCCTCCTCCAAGCGCAATTCGACAACCACCAATTTATGAATCTCTTCGGCGAAGGTGCTCGGGGTGGCGCAGCTGCCGGCGACGGTGTCGCTAGAGTCAACGTTAATCTGTTTTTGCATTTGATCTTCAAGAAGTTCTATCGGGATGAGTAACGGCATGCATGCAACGGCGGTGTTTGATGGTGAAAGATGGGGTAACCGTGTTATACCTTTTTCTTTTTCTGCTTGTTGTTCTCTGCATTTTATGGATGGTCGGGGGATCGGTGTACTCTGTTTTTGTTGGTTACGACCATGATGATATCGTTCGTCGCTTGACGCTTCTTCACTTTCTTCTTCTCTTCCTTTTCTTCTTTTGGAATGATACATACATATCCTAGCATAAATGCATCTTACATAATTTGTACTCAGAGTGTTGTCATCCATTACTTGATGGAGGCTTGTGAAAATTCATCCGTGAGAGTTGTGCAACCACGGCTGATCTTACATCTGCGACTATGAAACTTGGCGGGGGCAGGCAGATGTGTTATTTGGGTCGCGCTCTCCGTTGCTGTCGCAAAAGCCGGAGTAAGATGTCTTTACCACACACGTACTCGTTGGGGTATACAGCACATGTAGTCTTCGATGCAAAGGGTCGAGCAAAGTTCATGTAGTAGGCAATATGATGTATTCTCATCGCTCACAGATACGTCCCTGTAGCATAGCCGGCTTATACGGAAGCTTTATGTCCAGCGCACAACCTTGAAACGTATCCGGCTACCTGACTCAAAGATATCAAACTTTTGTACCCCACTCATCTGGCGATAGTGCTGCGGGTCATCCGTGCATCGGTGTTGCTATCCTCCACGACCGTACCGCTTTGTACGTGCTGGCTTGGGAAACCACCACACTTCAGGCAGTCCTCCAACGGCGAGATTTCCAGTATTGGTAGGCGATTCGGTCTGTGTCGCCTTGGAGTCCGAATCTCTTAATCCAAAATCAGTATGTGCATGGAACAAAAACTGGTTTCGCGACAACTTACTGCTGCTTCGCCGTCTTGTCTGCCCTTTCTTTGTCTTGCTCCGGCTCCCCTGAACCTGCCTTCTGCTCGTTGCTAGAGAGGTTCTTGTCCTGCATCTCTGGTCCTTGAATTTGCGCTTGCTCTTGCTGCTGTTCTTTCTCTTGCTCTTGCCGAGGTGCTTTTGATAGGTCTTGCGACTCCATGTTGTTTGCCATGTTACCGCTTTTGACAGGTTGCGAGGAGAGAAAGAGAAAGAGAGAGAGACTTTGTTGTTCGGTCATCTACTTATGTGAGTGGAGATGCCTACGGCTCGCGCATTATGCTGTCTCTCACCTTGTAGCTCCACCTTCACTTGTCTCCATGAGAGGCCAAGGCCCGAAATTTGAGCAGCCGGTGGGACAGCTCCGTATGCTTGCGGCTCTGTGATCCTGAAAGCCTTCTAAAGGTAACATAGCTACGCTCCAGAGGCCAGCTGGCGATTTGCAAGCTTGATGAGCGTGTACTGTGTCTTTGTGTTTACCTAGGTAGCTGCAGTGACGAGTTCATGCTGCACATGTTCGTGAACAATGCCTTGGGCGTTTGGCCAGGAATACACTTTTTTGATTAATAGTCACATCTCATCGTCGTATACTCCGCTGTTCCCGGTCTTCGATTTTACGCGTGGCAGTGGGCAGTTCAGAGAAGGAAGCATGACGTACTTTCAATTTCCAACTGCTTTCTTATTGCACCCCGAACCATCTGATTCGCACCACTCACACACTGGCTATGGATAATTATACTGTCATCCTTGGCACCTCCTCACTCTCTCAAGGAAGGTTTCGACGCGTTGCGCTGCCGGCGCGTGGCGTCATCGATTAGCCAATTTCCCCCTCTCTCCCGACAATGTGACCTACACCATCCAACGGCATCTATACCACCCTGAATCCCTTTTCTTCGTGCCAAGTTAGATTTGAATAAGGTAAGGAAGGTTAGACTTTTGTAGAGTAGAAGCGATCTCGCTTATTTGTAAGACTATCTTTTTTTCTAGATTATTAACATTGTAGAAGTTATAAGTAGCTTTTTTTTACTTCATATTATAATAGTACTGTAGAAGAAAAGCTCAAGTTAGGATAGGATAGTGCAATTTGGGCAAGCATTAGCGAACAAGATAACTAAGTTGAGTAAGGTACTATACGTGTTGCCTAAGCGGAGAGCAAGGATTAAGATTATCTCAACTGCGCAAACTGCGCACTTAACGTTGTTAGCCCTGTTAGGGAGTGCATTCCGAAATAAGTAGAGTTGTGAAAGGTTAAGTCCTCGGCTGCGTCGGCCTCTACCTGTGTATATTGATCCCTGAGTGCTCCTGGGCCTCACTGCAATAGCATTTTAATTCGATACGATGCCTATTATCTGATCCCTATGCGACCCTTGCAGAATGCTATACATTGGGTAGAGAGACGCGAAGACATTGCTGCGAGCAGAATGCACTCAACTTACAATCTCGAACCTGGTGAGTGGGCGAGTGGTTCTAGCCACCTTGCGAGGTTGTATTGGCATGTTGATATTGCTCTTTGAAAGTAGACACTCATCAGACACAGCTGAGCATAGAAGATGATCGTGAAACGTTGAAATGATGCTAGTAACAGGAAAACTACGCAATACTCGAGACACGCATACAAGTACATCCCAATGCAATCGCAACTGAATACGCCCCAGCAACTGCCATAGGCAGAGAGATTACCCAAACACCGACCCAAGCCTTCGTTAATGCTTCTAGATGGAGTTTTCCAAGGTTTTGAGAATGAGACAGATGCACAAGAGGACGACCTGGCGCCAGACGATCGCCAGATGAAAAACAAACAGAATGCAACTAGTGAGCAACGAGAAGCGAAAAAGTCGTTAAAAGCCCCAACGGTGGCGTCTCCAACCACCTAATGCCCCAATTAGCAAGAGGTAAATCAACGCCAGACGCTCTTAGAATTAGGCATGAGGCTACCTCTGGACGAAGAACCACTAGTGATTCGTACAGGCGCTCGCGCATTCAAGCTGGGCGGTGCCTCCCGAGGTCGATCGTCACCGACGTTCGCCAAGGTAGTGCGCCTTACAGCGCTCTTCATTATGGGCGTAACCCGTGGGCTAAGTACGCTGTTCTTCCAGTCAGCCTCGTGGACAGACTTGACCATGCGACGCGCTGCACCCGCGGAGAGAAGGGAGTTCTCGTTGGGCGGGCTACCAATAGTCGCTGCTGTCGGACTACGACGACGATGCGCTCGGTTCACAGGTACAGATCCCCCGTTTGTGGAAGAACGACGCTTGATTGCGTGTCCGATTTGTCGGGCGTCCGATGGCGTCCATTTCTCTCCCTCTGAACTGGAGTGGCCGCTGTCTCCTTCTCGCGCGGGGCCCGACGAGGCGTTCTCTACATTGCTCAAGGACGAAGTGCGAGCGTTGTTGTAGATGTCGCGGAGAGGCGACGCACCATCGGAATCCGAGCCATATGCGTTGTTGGAACGAGATGTGGGGGATCCGTCCGAACGCTTAGACAGCGCGCCGACTGCAAAGCGCGATGAGCCCTTCAAATCTACGGAGGCTTTTGGTGGTGTAGGGATAGGCGAAGAGCCACCGCTTCCATCGTATTTTGGTATGGGGATGCCTGTCGAGTAAGTCGGTGCCGGCACTGGGGTGGAAGAATGTGTTGGTGTTCCTGCTAGGTGTTCTGGTGTTTTCTGGAATTCCGCAAGTGTACCATTCTCGGTGTCGTCCCTCCAGCGCACCCCCCGCTTCGTCTTTGACGGAGACTTTTTCTTCTTCATCGGCGAGAACTGGACGCTCTTTCTGGCTCCTGCCATCAATTTTCGGCGTGGTGATGACTTCATTGGCGATGATGTAAGATGCGGCGCGTCCGCCAGTGTTGGCAAAGCAATTGGTCGCATGGGAGACGGCTCCATGATGTTCACTGGCTTCCTCCTTTTTGGTGTGCCTCTGTGGCTTGGCTCGAAGAACTCCGTGACTGGCAGGCCACCGTCTGGCCGAATAACCTGCGAAGTCGAGTTTGTACAAGAATTCATAATCTTTGTAAGCAGCTTCCTCGCCGCTTCCACCGCTTGGGCTTCATCCATTTGGGTGATCTGGCTTAGGATTGTGACAGTCTCGATGTGCGCCTGTACCAGCACCTGGACGATGGCAGCATCGCCGCCCTTTTCCATGTCTAGCAGAGCATTGAGTTGTTCACGATCCGCATTCGATTTGAGTAGCTCGTACTCTCTTGTCAGGTTGGCAGCATCGTGGCCGTCAGCGTTGCCGTCCACCTCCGCCAGACCCTTCAGTCCAACATGCAGCGCTGTGTCCATTTTGCTCGTCCATACGGTACGCTCCAATCGCCTATGGCAATGTTGTCGCGTTTGTTCGAGTTCTGCGGAAATTCCGACTGCAGTATCTCTCATTGCTGTGACTTGGGCGGGCATCTCCTCGTTTTCGCGAACATCCTGCACGTTATCGAATGCTGCGATCCATGCCGAAATCATCGAGATGCGCTTCTCGGCCAGCTTCAAGGTCTTTGACATATTCAGCCGATCCCGACGGTCGGGCTCAGAGTCCGCATACGCCTGGCGCAAGCGTACCACAGCGTCTCGCAAGATGCCATCCTTCTTTTCGCTCTGCTTCTGGAACTTGACCAAGGCGCTTCCTTCGAAATCCTTCTGCTTTTTCATCAACTCCTCAATCAAGTGTCTCTGCTCATCGATCTTGACAAGATAGTCCTTTACGTGGCGGTTGACATTGTACACGTTCTTGGTGACCTTGGTCTGGATGTTCTTCGCGCGGTTGGCGTACCGCAGGGTGTTCTGCGTCTCATCGAAATGCGCGCTTGACGGACTAACACAGACTATCATGACAGTTTTACAGTTTCCACCGAGAGAGAACTTGAGCAATCGTGTGAGTTTCGAGTTGCGGTATGGGATGTGGTTGCGCTTTCGGGGGTCACACAGGGCGTTGATACAGCTTCCCAGCGCGAGTAGGGATTTGTTGATGTTGGCACCCTCCGTCAAACGCTCTCCACGGTTCTTCGTAGCGCTCGCGCGCTCACTACCTGCCAAGTCGATGATGCTGAGGGTAGCCATTGTGTGGGGTTCGTTGACCGAGGCATTGCGGTCCTTGGAGGACACGTTGATCTGGAGTACGGCGTGGGATCGGGAAGAGGTAGCGTTCGCTTCGGTAGGTGACATGGTTCGGTACTCGTTGCCGCGGACAATGATATCCATGACTTCTTGGACCTGTGGTTGTTAGACGCCTGTCGTGCAGTGTGTCCCTCCTACTTACGCTCTGTGGTCGGTGGCTGGAAAGACCAGCGACAGATACAGCCTGGTTGGCATCCTCGCGAAGCATCAGGGGTTGTTTACTGCCGCCCTCTACAAGCAAGTCGCGAATTGTCTCGTTGTAGATTTCCAGATAGGAGAGCGTGATCTCGGTGACCTTTTCATCTTGTATGTCCTGAATCTTCTCGAACAGTTCTTGCATTGTCAAAAAGATAATGCCGGGCTGCTGCGATGTTCCACTGTTGAAAGGTTAGTCCTCCTGCGAGTAATTAGCGGTGTACATGAACATACGTGATAGTATGTGTCTTTCCGCAACCTGTGGCGCCATAGGCAAAGACAGTCGCGTTGTATCCATCCAGCACACTGTCCAGCAGGGGCTTCGTCGTGGCTTCGTATACATCGCCCTGGGAGGTAGTGTCGTCGAAGACGCGGTCGAATGCGAATGTCTGGTCCTTGGATCGCTTGCCCTGAGGTCCTATTGTTGATCGTCCGAACCGCTGGACGGCGTTGTCTTCTGGAGGGTCGAAGATTCTGGTACTGGTCAGCCCTCATGCCTTGAAATGATACGTGACGTCTCATACAGGCACTTCTCGTCCATGACCTTGATGACAGGCCGGATGCCCTTGTGGAGCTTCGGCGCTGGCAAGCCCGCCAGCGAACCGTCTCCGAGGAACAGCGTTTGGTCATCGTTCCTCGTGACCTGGGCTGCCTCTCGGATAGTGAAAGGGCGGACTCGTACGGTGACGGAGATGGAAGACGCGCCCGCGGCGGCCATGATTGCGCCCAAGAAATGAAAAAAGTAGGTCAATCGCACTGCGCAGCCTCCTTTGAAAGCGTGGGGAACAGCCGCGAGCGAGGGTCTGGTGTTGCGGGCTGGAGTGCTCAATGACGATGTTCCAGCCGGAACTTCTGTTATGGGACGCACGGCCGCTGGTAAACAGACAGGGATCTAAATGCGGCAACCACGACCCTGCCGCCAAGAATGCCCTCTTATCCCCACAATTTCCGACGTGGCTGCGACACCACACGCCACATCACCTCTGTCCTGCCAACGGGTGCACCCGACTGTC